TAATATTCACAAGAGCTTTTTCATAAAAATTGTGGGATCTAATAATAAATATTAAGCCCAATCTTATTCATCTATAAGAAATTCACATACTAGTCCACTTTTGAATTAGGAAAATAAAAGTTTTTGTTTGAGATTGGCATGCTTTGCCTTGATTGGCTACTATGGGAAGCATTTTATAAGACAAAATTTGTCCGTCCTAAATCTTTTTCTCTAGGACCAAAATCTTAATATAGTTGGTCCTAAATAACACACTTCCATTTTTGGAACTCTTAAGTATAAATAAATATTGAAAAAAAAAATGATATTTCTCTATCTTTATTGCTCATAAATGTATAGTAAAAAAACCATTACTCGCAAACATGTTTGCAAGTATTTTGGGTTGAAACTAATTCATAGAAGATGTGGACTAGCATTTATCAAGGGGGAAGCGGAGGCCAAGTTTCAACTGATCTTCTTGATAGTTGACCTCATTATTAAATGAAGTGTTGGATATTCACCCTCTTTGGACCCCAAATAAAATAAGACTCGTAAAGAAATAATAAAACCCTATATAGACTTAGCCATCACCTTTGATGATTGAGTATACTTGCATTATTGAAGCCACTAATAGATTTAGTCAGTGCTTTCACAATAGCAAAAAGTGAAGACTATAGATTGAGAATTAAGAGAAGGAAATCTTGGGAGAATATGTTTCACCTTAGAGAAAAAAAAACTGAACAACATAGAATGATCATAACGGAACTCAAAATATTTAAAAGCGCATAGAGTTACACCTTTGAGAAACAACTAATCAAGATTGTTTCAGAGATTTTTTTATTCCAAACCAAACATTATTAATTTTTTACATTTTTTAAGAAGTCGTCATCATTATTTATGTATGTTTGAGATTATGTAAACTTAGAATGACTCTAAAATTTCTTACATTCAATATGACTAAAACCTAAGCATATTCTTTGAATAAAATAGAAACAGCTCATTTCACTAAGGAAACTTATGATCGACCCTTCTTCCAAACACAATATTTGATAAAATGCAAATCACATACATTGAGTTTAAATTAAATAGCATTTCAGTACTAATACATTAAAACAAGATTGCATTACATTTAACAGTGACATGTAGATGGTCCTGAGCATAAAAGAGGCTCCAAGGTGAAATCAACCAAAAATCGCTTACTGTTGGACAAACTCACAACCAAAAACAAACCAATTCGACTTCAAAGACTCCAAGGTTTTGTGACTTATATTAACTTTTGTCTTAAATCCTAGAATGCATTATGGGGTTTGCTAGCAATCTCACTTGCAAAAGCATTTGAACCACCTTCAAGGGTGCTTAATCAGTTAAGCAACTCTCTCTCTCTACTCTACCTCAACCCTTGCTTCTAAAAGAGCGATTTGACCTTTATACTCACCCCTTTCATCATCTACCTTGTATTACATAATAGCTAAAGATCACTTCACTTAACTCATATTGGTCATCATTTTTTCCATTATTTGAATCAACATAGCTACCTTAGCTAATTCCCCAACTGAATTCGGTATCAAGATAAGCTCCTCATGAGCGAAATCATGCGATTGAGAAGCCAAAGCTTTCTTTGTATGCAAATAACTTAGCAGACTAACTAATTACAAGATACTTCATATGTGTAGGATGACCAAGTGTTGATGCTATAGAGATTTCTTCTCACCCCTGAAGGGGCCTCAACAAGCAATGTCCTTCAACTGTGTTGACCTAACTTGCTGGTAATAAACTCTACAAATGGAATATTTCATTAATACGACAAGGAGGCTCTTCAAAATTTCATAATAAAACATTGATTCAAAAAGTAATGCTTATTGAAGTTTTCGTAGAATCAACTCCGAAATGGCCTCAATCTCGACCTCGAAACTTCTCTTATGGTATAATAAACTTTTACATTGCTTAAAAAATGCAGATAATAACTTACATAATGAAAAGTTCTCTTTTAACAAATGATGAGCTGCTTCCCTTCCATGATTATCCTCTTACTAATTGGCTCATCTGTCTCTAGATGACTTCATCTTTAGGAATTTCAATAAAAAACCACACCTTGCCAAATAGAGAATAGTATTTTGCTAAAGATTCATTTGAAATCATAAGAAAATATTTAATACTAACCCATACTATAGGTTCTTTAGCAATCTTAGAGACAACCTCTAACCTTGAAGGCTCACCAACTAAGTATGGAGAAGTTCTCATGGCATATTTAGTAAGATCCAAATCACAGGCATGAAGAAAACTATATCCTTTTCTTTTTTTACTTGTCTCAATGAGTTCCAGCTTACCGTGTTAACTCTGATTTGAGTCTTCTAATATTTTCTTGCCTTCTTGGTTATACCTGCCAAGTCGATGTCATTAAATATCTCAATGTTATTGATTGGTATCATCCTCCCATTTATAGAGTTATAGAGCATAAAAACTAAAGAAGATGAAAATCTCAGTGATTGCAACTCTATTTCTATAAAATAAAGGGGCTATTTATAAGAGAGTAGTCATGCTAATGTGGACAATGTGATAAAAAGTTAAAACAATGACAAAATTTTAAATAATATCATTTCTTATTTCTGTGTGAGTTAAATATACGCTATTACAGAATTTCACCCTTTAAAAAAAAGGATTAAAAAATGAATTTGGCATAAAAAAGCTAAGCAATTTTTTTTACTCAAAAAATATTGTTTTCACTATCATTCTGGCAAACAATATCATTTTGCACTCATCCAGCAAAATGTAAGATGGACACCCCCCTAGATTCATAGAAGATAAGCCAATTAAGTTTGATACAAACTTACCAGTCGAGCTTATGATGAACCGGTTAAATAAGATTGAGGCTAACTCATCAACTGAGTTCAAGAAGAAATTTGCCACAATACAAGCTAAGCTAGCCATTAAAGCCTAAGAGCTACCCACAACTTATAAGAGAACTAGCAACTTCCTTTTGATCAATAGACCTGTTACTAGCCTAAGGGCCTGTTTGGGGCAGCTGCAACTGTTAAAAAAAGTTGTTGTAAAACTACTCCAGAAAAAATTGCTTTTCAAAAACTGCGATAGTTATTACAAATTTATTTTTTAAAATAAAATTCATACAGCTACTTTCTGACGGTTGAAACAGCTTTTCACCACAGAAAATTCTAAAAGCAGCAAGAATGCAGTTTCGCAGACAGAACTGTGGTGGTGGTCTGAAAAACAAAGCAGACAGAAAGCTGCCCCAAACAGTTCCTATGTTTTGGGTGCTTTAGTTGCACATCTCGTATTTTATGATGAGTAATTATCGTGCTTTACTTTGTGCTTTTTGTTATAGATGTAGCATATTATCTATTTTTATAACACTCAAATCCTAGTCTAAACCTATAATTAAGAGGTTTGGGGAGAGTTAGGGTTGTGCAATCATAGTTACACAATCCCTCGTAATCACTTGTATTTGAGCCTCGTACAGATAAAATTGATGGAGTTGCTTAATGTCATTTCACTCTCTCCTCTCTTTTTCCTTGTGCAAAGCAAGGCTCTGGTATAATGTATGGACAAACAAATTAGGATTCAGTTAAAACAAAGCCAAATATCAGTGTGTAATCATAGAGCAGCTCAAATTCATAAATCAATTGTTGTGAAGGCATATTTGGATCTACAAAATATTTTGATCATGTAATAGAACAAAAATGTTTTTTCTACTATGTTTAGATTATGCATAAGAGCATGCTTTTTTTCTTTATCAAGTAATATCAAGTTGAATAGATGAGCTTTGCGTCCACGTTATCCGACTATAATGGCATGCAAATCAGGAATCTTCTAGAGAAAAGTGATTGTTCCTCATTCATATATTATTCAATTCATCCGCATCATTATTGTTTGATAATTGTTTAGCCCTATGAAGTAACAATAATTTATAAGTAGCTACTTGATGCTTAATACTGCAAGGGTAATGGCCAATGATCATAACCATGATATTCAATCAAACAGAAATTAAGTTGCATATAAGCAAAGTCTTCCAAGGAACCTAAACTCCCTGAAACTGTAAACTATGGCAAAGGCTCAACTAGTCTGCTAATAAAAGATAAATTCCAGATACAGCTCTTGCATGATAGTAGTTCGACATTTTGGTTCCTTATTTGTGCTAATTCTACCCTTCCTGATTTATTGTGTATAAAAACAAAAAAAATGCTTTTTATAATCTATTTATTGGAATATTTTACGGTAGTAGATATTGCACAGCTTAAACATGGAATATTTTGCTTATGCATATGGTGCTCTAGAGTTTACCTTCACTATAAATTCTTGTTTGCAGCGCACTTCATGAGAAGGAAGTTCGTGCAAAGGGCAGCCTTACTCGCAACCAATTTTTTCTAGTTGCCTTCATCTGCAGCTTTGCCTACTACGTCTTCCCAGGTTATATCTTCAGCATGCTCACATCCCTTTCATGGATCTGCTGGATCTTTCCAAGCTCTGTCTTTGCACATCAACTCGGCTCTGGCCTCCGCGGGCTTGGAATTGGTGCCATTGGTCTCGACTGGTCCACTGTTTCCTCCTACCTAGGCAGCCCCCTTGCAAGCCCATGGTTTGCCACTGCTAATGTTGCCGTGGGATTCATCATCGTCATGTATGTCATCACCCCCATAACTTACTGGCTCAACATTTACCATGCCAAGACCTTCCCCATATTCTCAGACAACCTCTTCACAGCCAAAGGGCAAATCTATAATGTAACAAATATAATAGACTCTAATTTCCACCTTGACCTCAATGCCTATGAGAAGAATGGTCCCATCTATATGAGCACCTTTTTTGCAATGACTTATGGCATAGGATTTGCCTCCCTCACAGCTATTCTCTCACATGTACTCTTGTTCCATGGAAGGTAAGCGCCATATCAATCTCCTCATATCCAATGAGTCAAGGGTTTTAAATTTTGTATTTATTTGCTCTTTGTAATGTATTGCAGTGAAATATGGCAAATGAGCAAGTCCGCATTCAAAGACAAGAAGATGGATGTGCACACAAGACTTATGAGAAGATACAAGCAAGTTCCAGAATGGTGGTTCATCTGCATGCTTGTGATCAACATTACGCTCACTATTTTTGTTTGTGAGTACTACAGTGATCAGCTCCAGCTACCCTGGTGGGGAGTTCTATTAGCATGTGCCATTGCCATGTTCTTTACTCTACCTATTGGCGTCATCACCGCGACCACGAATCAGGTACTCACTTGGCATCCTCCAATATTTTCTTAATTAAAAGGTTTTCAAATTTTGAACTTCTCCTTCATGAAGTAGACGCCCGGATTAAACATCATAACGGAGTATATCATTGGATATATATACCCTGGTCGCCCCGTTGCAAACATGTGCTTCAAGGTTTATGGCTATATCAGTATGTCTCAAGCCTTAATGTTTCTACAAGATTTCAAGCTTGGTCACTACATGAAAATACCCCCAAGAACAATGTTCATGGCCCAGGTTAGTATCCCATAAAGCAACACAACAATCGGTCACATTGCCAATTATTCTGCAATATCCAGCAAAACCAAACTATAGGGAAACCAACCTAAAAACACTGAATGATAGAACCTATATAATCATATAATCTGTTCCAAGATTACAAGCAAACACATCCATACCTGATCTGCGTTACTATCCAACTTTCTAGGTCATGGGAACTGTGATTTCGTCTTTGGTCTACCTTTGCACTGCATGGTGGCTTATGGATTCAGTTCCCAACATATGTGACAGAGAACTCCTTCCTTCAGACAGCCCATGGACATGTCCAGGAGACCACGTCTTCTACGATGCCTCTGTCATCTGGGGCCTCATTGGTCCTCGCCGAATCTTTGGTGACTTGGGAAGCTACTCTGCCATAAACTGGTTCTTCCTGGCTGGAGCCATTGCCCCACTTCTTGTATGGATTGCCCACAGAGCTTTCCCTTCTGCAAAGTGGGTAAAGCTTATTAACGTGCCAGTGTTGATTGGTAGCCTTGGAAGTATGCCACCTGCAACAGCAGTCAACTTTTCCACATGGATCATTATTGGCTTTTTTTCAGGCTATGTTGTGTACAATTACCGTCGAGACTGGTGGCAGCGGCATAACTATGTGTTATCAGGGTCGCTTGATGCAGGTTTGGCCTTCATGGCGGTGTTGCTGTATCTGTGTCTGGAACTGGAGAACATTAGTTTGAAATGGTGGGGCAATGAACTGGATGGCTGTCCTCTGGCCCACTGCCCTAGTGCTGAAGGAGTTGTGGTGGATACATGCCCTGTCTTCTCTTAATTTCTGTTTGTTGCACCTGCACGTCAACTTTTATGTCCTTATAGTGGTACGTCATGCATGCAAATTTTATGTTATATAGCACAATTCTAAAGTATTTATATATCTCACACCTAAACTTTCATATTTATGCATGTATCAATTAAATCTTTAATATCACATCAAAAATAGTATTGTCATCATCTTTTTAAGTAAAATACATAATTTCATGTATAAATTTAAAACACTAAAGTGTTATATATATAAATCTGAAATTTTAAGTGTGAGATATAAAAAGTAAATTAGAATTGTGTGCTAGGTATGTAAATTTCCCTTCTTAGATTTGAATGCAGAAGTGTGTTGCTGTGCTTCGTAGATATTACTATAAAGAATACCCGTAGTTAAGAAGGAATAAGCGTTATGTGATGTTAAAAGTTTACTAAAAATTGATGATGACCTGAGGGCTTGAAGACAATAGTACAGAAGTATGACAATATTGCATGCAGAGCAACACTTAGAAGTAAATGAAAGTGATGTATGTTGAAGATTTGATTTCTTGAGAAATGAAAATTCTAATATATAAAAAAAACTTTGGAGAAAAGAGAACTGGTTGCTAGTTCTGACTAAAAAAAACATAAATAATAGGCAGAAGGTAAAAAGAAATAAAACATGAAAGGATCTAATTAAAACAATCAAACCGAATCAACTAAGAGAGAATACTCAAGCAAATATTATTTTTTAATCATTTAATCAAACATTATGTAAAATGACATAATTAATTGACTTAACAATAATATATAAATAAAATTTAATTCTGATTGATTAAAATCGTAGGTTCATTGTATGGGGTTCAATTTCTTTCTTAATTATAAACAAGATAAATTGACAATATTTATTAGCAATTGATTGAACATCAATGATTCAGGCTTCATAGATGACAACGAAAAAAAATTACTTTCACCAAAAAGTGTTTTATCAGTTATTACTTTCATTAAAAACAAATTGGTTGTCTTTTGTTCCAAGGAGATATCATTTTCTTTATTTAGTTATTATTTTAACTAAAAACAAATTGGTAGTCCTTTGTTTCAAGGATATATCATTTGCCAACAGACCGATGAACATTAAAGAACATATGAGCACTTAATAAACAATCATGCCATTTCATTAATCTCGCATGTAACATTAAAAATGATATCTGTCTCTCTGCAAAACATTTCAACTGTTTTCAAACAAGCAACCTGTTAGAACCGCTGCCCCTTTCATGGCAACAATAAAATTTTCGCTTGTTATTTTTATTTTTATTTCCCTTTTCCTACAACTAAATTAATACAAAATTTTGTCTTTTGAAAGGTTAGTAAGATTGAATATAAATAGCTTTTGATGAAAAATTAGCTCTACTATCAGAGATTTGACCTAGCCATTACTCTTTTTAGTTATGCCATCTAGAGATATCTATGATAAAATGATGCATCCCATCCTCCTAAAGTGAATTATTCTCTCAAAAAAAAAAAAAAAAAGAATATTATTTTCTTTTGCAAGTTCAAATATGAAATTTAGAAGCTTTATGATCACATTAGTACATTCATCTCAAGAAGACCTTTGCTACTAATCTACACACTTACGGAAATACCACTCAACTGTTGAAAGAGCTGCAAAAACATCTAAAACTAACTAGAATGGATGTTAGATTTACATTCAAAGAGCCCACTTGATATCAAAACCGATGTTCAAGAACCAAAATCCATCATCAATACAATTGGAATCACACCCGAATTAAAAACTTTAGATCCTGAAACCTATACATATAATAGGAACTTTTTTATGAAGAAAATTATAGTAAAACCTAATATTTTAATGCATAAGAGAAAATTAATGATGAAAAACCAACATATACCAATAATCACTATCATCACCACCTAATATAGTAATGGATAACATTATAAAATGATTTTGAAGAAAACATTATATTCTGACAACTTCTAATGTTAACTTTCTTCTGGTCGATGTTCCTTAGCTAAGAAGTTTACTATTTGTTATTTTGTATAATAATGCTTTAACTTGATTACTTCCTTGGACACTATGATAAATTATTGAGAATACCTATATGTTTTGAGTGCACCATTATGGATGGATTCTTCACTATGCAAGTTTAAACCTCAATGCTCAATATTGAACTTTTAAGTAGCTCCTTATCTTTTGTTTTAATCCTTGATAAGTATTTGTAGTAAAAACAATACGTTCCACTGATGAAAAGGAAGCTAAATGTCGTTGATACTATTATAAATGTTGATTTCATATTACCACCACTATTACAATCATGCTATGGGATCCTTACCATGTTACTAAAATAATTCATTCTTTCAAAATCTAACTCCTCTAGATTCTCCACAGATTGTTTAATTACTAATAACTCCACTGTCCATTCTAATGGTTATTGACCACCTATATTATCCCCATACTGTAGTTCATCTTTCCTTCTAGATGTACTTAAAATGGTATATGAAAATGTTCCACCATCACCGCCTCTATGGACACTAGCTAGTCCTCTTCTTTTTGGTAAGAGTTCTTAATTGTTGGGGATCAAAGATGAGAAGAGTTGAGAAAATCAAATGTTCAGACTCCCTATAGTGAAAAAAAAACAATAAATCATAAAAAACAATGAGATACCCTGCACTTTTTATGTTAAGCCTTTATTCTTTTTCATTGATAGATTTTGTTAGAGGTGAGAGGTACATATTGAAGGCAAGAGAGATAGAAGCATCAAATAAAATGTTAAACATCAAAGAAAAATAGATTTGTAATCCTAAATCTTTTGCTGCTCTCACCATATCATATGCTAGCCATTGGATACATTAGAAAGGAGAAAATAAGAAAATCTAGACTATATAAATAAAAATTTGTCTCTTTTGATAAAAATCAAACACATACAATATAAGGAAATAATGGTGCTTAACATAATTTTTACATAGAAGTTCAAGAATAAGGAAAATCAGATTTCAATTAGAAAATCTAGAATATGAATTTTTCATCAAACTCACTCTTGTGGTGATATTAGTATAGAATCAAAAATGGGTATCTTTCGAGTCCCATGCAAGATATAGGGGACAGCTGATAGATGAAAAACTGAAAACAAAGAATAAGAAAAGTGCAAGGACAAAATCACCATAATATAATCCAAGCCTGACGCAAGGAGAAAGCTTCCCTAGAAAGTTACTAAACACCAGTTGCACTGAGGTAGAAAAAATCGTTGAACGGACATTCAAGAACAAAGAAGAAGTAATAACTAAAAGGAAATATTATTTGTATTTATTTTTATATATGCCCAAGATCCCACTATGTATAATTACAAAGAATTCTTTTAAATATCAAATATAGATCAAAATAATATGGGCAGCACCCAAAAAAGTAATTGAAATTTCACAATCAACAAGTAAATATCATAACTGTAAAATCGTAAGCACTACAATACTTGATTGCTGCTTAGAATCGAACAGAGTCGTGTATTACATAATGAAGACAGTTCACAATCAAAAAGGAAAATTGAATAGTCACGGCCGCATAACAATTAAGAAAACCAAACAATAGCTAAGTAAATCTCAATTCACATGCCAACTAAAAACTCAAAATAGCATAACAGAGAATGAACCAATAGGGAATCGAACCTAAAAAGAGGGCATGTTTATCGAAGAGAAAACAGTAAATTACTGAAGAAAACTGAATTAAAATAAAGGGTGATTTATGCACAAGCCACCAAAGTATTTCTTATTAACAAAATACATACCGTGTTTTAAGAGAATTATTGAACTTGTATATTTTTGTTTGCTACTAACAAACCATCAAGAGTTTAATGAAAGAAAAAATCTATGCACATTTTTTTTCGATTTGTATAATACCATTATAAATTGACTAGTAAGTTTAATTGCTATGTGAGGGATCCACTCATCTTTAGATGGATGAGTGGTTTTACACTTATAGACATCCGTGATAGGGTTGATGTAGCTGCAGTGGCGGATAAAATTAGAGAGTCGTCTTAGATGGTTTAGTCACATTAAACGTCGACCATCAAATGATTTGGTTAGGAGAGCAGATGTTTTAGATTCGACTTATGATAAGAAAGACAAAGGAAGACCTAGAAAGACTTGGGCATATTGTATAAAAAAAAGACCTTAATTTATTAGAATTAATTGAAAATATGACACTCAATAGGAGCAAGGGAGAAAAAAGGATTCATGTAGCCGACCCCACTTAATGCGATAAAGGTTTTCTTTTGTTGTTGTGAGGGATCCACTCATCTCAACAAACTTCTTGCGTTCTTGGCAGCAGAAGTTTTGTGGATCACATAATACCTTAAGAGAGTTCAACAACAAAACTATTGTATTTTATCTGCCATTAAGACATTTGAAGCTTGACTTCCTCAAACTCTTAAAAATTTAATTTCTAACTCTCCTAACATAAGAAAATCATAGTGTTCATTGTCACATGTTTATGACAATGCCTCACCTTCCACCACTCTCTAACATAGACCAAAAAAACAGTGATCACTTCAACTTGTATAGAACAAAGGTGGATAGTGGTTATAACTAAATTGCAACTTAGATTGTTTGGAAACATATTATCATTTTTCAAGTCAGAGACCTTAATGTTTATGAAGAAAAACATCAGAGGAAATATTTACGTAATTCTTATTATCAATCTTCGACCCTAAGGCTACAAATATAGGGAAACTGGTCTCTCCTAATTTTCAATCTTACCAAATATATCTAACATAAATATGGAAAGAAGATAATTCTTAGATAAACATAAATAGAAAGTGAAAAAAAAACTAATCAATGAGTTTCCCAAGTTATCTCCTATTAATCTATCTATCACTGCTTGGATGGTCGGCTTGGGCTCACCATAGAAAGGAGGCCAATCCTCCAAAATTTCCACACTCCCCTCAGGCTAGGTCGAAGATGTTTTAGAGACCAAGCTTGGTGTTAAAACTCCGAAAAGTTGCTTAAAGAAAGAGCTTTGGTGAAGATATCAATAATCTGTTGGGGTGTTGGGATGTAGCATAGTTGTATAATTCCACCATTACCTTTTCTAAAAATAAAGTGTCTAGCAATTTCAATAGTTTGATCCTATCATGATGCATAAGGTTTTTGACAATGT